CGCATACCTTTGCGAGTCTATTGCCATAGCGCGCACTTACTCCACTGCTGCAAATGCATCAGAATCCATAATTTTCCTCAAAATATTTAAAGTCAACTAATTTTACTATAAACAAGCACATGATGAGTGCTTTTTTAATTCCTTTCCACTTTGTTTTCCTTCATACAGCTGACTTCGAAAAACAACTGATGCTGCACATTTTCCCGCAAGGGTTGCAGCATGTCGATTTTTCGTTTTTCGTAACGTAGCTACGAATTACGAACTACGAAAATTCGGGTTCTAGAATAAGGGTGCTCGACACGGTTGCATAGCTCGTAATACGAATTTCGCATTCAATCTTCGATAACCATCGAATGCACTCATAATAAGGGCGGCCAGGTGACAGCTGCCCATTCCAAATATGGCCATCAGGATTCATAAAAAAATTTTTGATCGGATCTTTGAACAGATTTTCAGACTTAAATGACTTATTGCCAACGCGATTATGATGAGTACTTACCGTTCGGATTAGCATTTGGCAGATGAGTATGCCTAGTGACCACCAATCGATAGCGTGCCCGTAGGGCTCACCACGCAACACTTCCGGAGCTGCCAATAGATAAAAAGAAAGAAAAAAAAAAATGTTTATATATTATTTGCTAGAGAGAATATTTAAACGATATTTTATAAGAATTTCATGTTTTGAGAAGTATTCATAGCTTAATAACTTCAACATGTCGCCTGTATTTTTTCAAATCTATCTATTGGAACGTTGCGATAGAAGTTCAAGGCTGTTATTTTTATTGATACAACAAAGGTGAGCAACCCATGAGCGAAATTCAGTAATCAAGAAAGAACACGACCGAAAGAGAGGGAGCTTTGTTGAGGCCACTTCGCCTTGTTCGACTTAAGGGCTCACTAAATTCTGGCTATATAAACGTGTAGCCTATTAAAAACCCTATCAGCAATGCGATGAGCGTTGGCCTAAGGATCGCCCAAATGATTAGATAAATTCAATGAAAAAAGTAGAAAGGCTCGGATAAAAGCTTTCCTACTCAATAACGGCCCTAGTAAACGGAACAAGACCTGTACGTAAACTGCGAAGGACGTATCGACATGAAGTATGCATAACGCTGACATCTACACTTTTTTTTGCAGTATTTAACGTTTTTATGAACTCCAAAAATGGAATGGTGGTTTTAAAAAATACTGCATTTATATGAAAAAATACTTTTTTTGCTAACTTAGGGCCAGTTTCTCAATATCTGCTTAACACTAACTACAGGTTAAACATCAACAGACCTCAGATTCGGGTTCAGCGAGTCGAAAACCGCATATATATGAATTTTCAGTTTTATTCAATGAATTTTTCTGACGTAATGGAGACTAACAGACCCCGGATTCGCAATCAGCGCGTCGAATAACAGGAATATAGAGGTTTGGTTCAATATCCAGAAACTCTTTTTTGTAAACCTGTGTAATTATAAAAACCTTAACCAAAATTCAGACAAGAGTGATACACTGCAATATAGCGAGAGTACCAGTTTGACAGAATAAAACATAGCCAAAGATCATAGAAAACCAGGAAGCTGGCTATGTTTATGGCTCCCAAGGCGAATTTATACAAAGTGGTGTTCGCAGAAATTACAATAACAAATTATACGTGCATTGACAGCTGTGTGTAGGGTTTATCGTGATTCCCTGCCAGCAAGGCTTAGGATCACGGTGCCCGCATTTAGCACAGCGGATCAATTTTTGCCTTAACCACTGCCCTGAAATGCAAGCACTTGAGTACCAATTGGCAGTGTGTGGTGGACACACTTACCACCTTGGTAAGGCCGAGCCCTACCTAAACCTCTGACGTTCTCTGGATCACGACATTTGGTTGCAATGTATCTCCACATTGAACCATTTCTGTTTCTACCCGCATTTAGGTGGTTGACCACAGCCACCATGGTATTCCCCGAAGGGGCCGTACCCATGAAAAGACCGGAGTAATGCTCACCGGCGAGATTTGCTCGACCGGCTCGACTCACCTTGACCCACTTAACTGGCTCGACTCACACTAGCACGACTTACACGACTACTTCACTCAACATTCATCTCCATTTCAATAAGCACACTTCATGCCCTCTGGCTTCGTCTTGCTCGTCTCACACGTCTTACTCGCCTCGCTCGTGAGCAGCCTCCTCTAACCAGGAGAGGTGACTCAGTTCGCTCAACTTTCACAACGGCTCCAGTTGCTCAACTTGCATCACCATCTTCATCAATTTTTTCCACGTTTTCCACCAATTTTTCCACCTTTTTTCCAACATATACCTTCATTTTCCATCATTCATTCAACTTCATTTTCACCATTTTTCTAGTCGTACACACTCCGGGGGCGTTCTGTTCCCCGTGGTACCAGATTAAAATCCCTTGGTAGACTTTCGAAAGCCGTAGACTTCTACCAGTTGAGCCTCCATCAACTCAGGACTGGTAGCCTTTGACTGGGCCCCGGCGTCGTCAAACCCGTGGTTCCGCTTTCGTTTCGAAACCCCCTGGCGAAACGCACATTGACAATCAGTACAAAACAAAATTACAGCAAACACATCATTTCGGAAAAATGTCCAGAAGTACAGGAACGCGAAAAAAATATATATATATATAGATTTTCCTACTTAAGGCCATCTATATATATAATACGCGAAGGCATTTTTTGTGCAGCATAAAAGATCTACACCGTTCGTTCGATTTTCAAAAATGGGGGGTTTTAGTTTTTCAAAAAGAGTTGCCACCTGTTAAATAATTAAACTCAAGTTATTTACTAATCAATCCCGTCAGATCCGCACCGTCCGTTCGATGTTCAAAAGTGAGGTACCAAATTAAAGGGCTTAGAGTGTGGATCTTCAAGAAGGTTTTACTTTTTCGAAAAAAGCTGCCACCTGTTAAGAAATTAATTAGTTAATTAAAAAGTTAAATCAATTATTAAATATGGGTATCAATCGAAATNGTCAGATCCGCACCGTCCGTTCGATGTTCAAAAGTGAGGTACCAAATTAAAGGGCTTAGAGTGTGGATCTTCAAGAAGGTTTTACTTTTTCGAAAAAAGCTGCCACCTGTTAAGAAATTAATTAGTTAATTAAAAAGTTAAATCAATTATTAAATATGGGTATCAATCGAAATGGTTTTGAAAAGGCTTTATAACTTAATTACGTATAGGAGGGTCGCCACATGTTAAAAAAAAATTAATTCAATTTTAATTAAAGGAATTAGGCAAGTGAATAAGGTATCGGTATATCGGTGTCATACAAAAGAGGTTTGAGAAGGTAGCAGTTTGAAAATATTTTGAATAGGGTTGCCACCTAATTGAGAAGTCTAACTGAACTATTTTTTATATGAAATATTAACGATGGATGTCAAATGAGAGAGCTTCAAGAAATACTTTGTTTGACAAGTTAGGACATTTTTGATGTGTTTGAGGTTTGCCCCAGTTTAAAGGGCTAAACTAAAATTATTTAATAAGTTAGGTGAATTACTAACCGATGGTCATCAATGGAAATGGGTTTAAAATCCTTTATTTAAGAACTATATTTAGGAGGATTGCTACGTGTTTAAAAAATAATTTTCCACTTAATTCATCAGTTACATGAAATATTTATAACAATGTCAGACGAAAAATATTCATCACATCTGCACCGTTATTTCGAATTTCCAAAATGAGAATTCAAATTAAAGAACTGGGATTCTACATAGGTTTTATTTTTTGAAGTTACATGGAGTTTTGAAATTTGATGAAATGAAAACCGACACCATGCGAGACCTCTCATCACTGAGAAATGGTTAAGATTAATCATTAGGAATATTTTTAGAGGTTTTTGAATAGGGTTTCACCTGTTTAAAAAAATTAATTAAATGTTGTCGTTTTGACGCCATGCGAGTTCACTAGTATAAAGTTATTTGTGGATTTCAGTTCCTGTGAGCTACCGATAAACTTTTCCCAATGCCTCTTAAGCTTTGTATTCCGCAGTTGTTTGTCCTTTCGCATGCTTCCTACCGAGAATATGGACACTTTTATTTTTCTCCATATGCATATGTACAATATAACTGGTGGACACTCTAATGTATTATGTATGTGTATATTTTCTGTGAATTTGCCACACAAATAGCAACTACATATCTTTACCTTAGGGCCCTAACTAACTCGCAATTCAGCTTCTACAAAGGTTGGTAGATTACTCACCCAGAATTTTGAAGAAATTCCCAATTTTACTCTATATGAAGTTTTGTAAATACTCTGTAAATCCATACAATTTTCCATATTAAGGTAACGATAGTATGAATGCACAGTAGGGGTCCAATTATACAAATTCTCTTGCATACGGATTTGTTTTGGGAAAACTATAGGAAAAATATATTTTGCGAAAGACCCTGTCATCATACAACTACATATGTACATACAGACCCAATAAAAATTGGGCTTGGTTAACAATTCGAATATGATTAGAAAACAAATTTTTTTCCCCAGTCTCACCTTCAATAACTACTGTGGAATAGGTTGGTATTCGATTCGAGAACTACACCATTCTCCAGCAAAACGGAACCATCGTTATCCATTGTATTTTTCCTTCGTTAAGAATTCGAAATCCAGCCCATTATCGAATCGAAATGAGAGAGAGTGATTTTCTAATATTTCCCTTCGAGAATGAGCTGGATTTCACTTTCCCTCTTGTTGCTATGGTTTTAATATATTTTTTTCGAACCCATCTCAAGTGTATTTCCATTATACTATGAACGTTGGAAAACATACGAGTATGTACATATATGTATATTATTCGTATTATTGGACGTCTGCTGAACTTTCAAAGAAACATAAGCAAATGAAGAAAATCGCAAATTTATGTGCAATCAAATCAAAAGAAATAGACGAACAAGCAGACAGACAGACAACTGTGGGCGGATAAATCCTATCCAACGTTGGGTAATATTCCGAGAATAAATAACAATGCAATTATTTGATATTTTTTAAAAATTCCTTTTTACTTAATTTATTTACATATTTCATTTTTCACATCTTGTTTTTGTGTTTTTGTTTTTGTTTTTGTTCTTGCATTCATTGGGCATATACTCAACTAGATATACAATTATATTATTTCCATTGCTACAACTAATTGAATAATGGTTAAATATTCAAGTATGTATGTATGTATGTATTTATGTATATATGTGGTAGAAATCGTCATAAACACCATTATTGTTGTTATTATCATAATTTTTTCATAATCATTATCACTAAATTACTAAATATTTATTGTTTATTATTATTATTATTATTAAAATTATGAATCATCGAGAATTGAAGTATATTATACACAACAAGCCATATCATTAATCGTGTTTCAAAAATTATACATGTATTCATCCTTTTCATATTTTACCTTATTCTCTACTATTTTATTTAAAAAAAACTTTTAGACATTTCAATAGTTTAAATATATAATTACATAAACAAATAGAGTAGACAGTAAAGTTGCAGAAAAAATTACCCAATATAAACTGCATAGTAAAAGTAAATATTAATTATATTGTATCTTTGCTTACTGAACATTTTTTAAAGTTTAATTTTCTCATATATATATATATATATATACATATAGTGTATATATGTATGTATGTATAGTATGCATCGTCTTCATTATCATCTTAATCAATTTTGTCGAATGCACATACACATACACATGTGTGTACGTATGCATGTTTAAATACAGGTATGTATGTTTAAATGTACATATATGTTAGTGTTAATTAATGGCTTAGAATTAGCTACTTTATGTATATTTATATGAATCACAATTATTTTTTGTTGTTGTATCAGTTATTATTGATGTATGTAAACGTGCAATACATACTTCGCAATAATTATATCAGATTCTTTTCGTTAGAAGACGAGCCATTTTGCGTTAAGACAGGCTCCATATATTTAATGATTTGTTTTTTTTTTATATTAATTTTAACATTTTAAATAATAGTTTGTGATACCCAGTTGGTTGCATTACAAAAATTAAAATATTATGCAACATTTTAAGACTTGTTTTACCAGGTTCTACTACTGACTAATGGTAATGGCGGATGGATGCATCTTATATAAGTTTCCATTTTGATTTGCAACAAGATTGCATTGCTGTTACTCTCAAATACTAAGCGCGATACATACACATAAACTTATTCCTATACTATATACTATATACATGCCTGTGTGTACCTATGTTGTTATAGTAGGATTAAAAGTGGTAATTTATTACTTTTTTAGAATTTGGGAAGTTTTTGCTTTAAAATGTTCTTATTTCTTCGTCTCTTCCGGCTAATCGATATCTACTGAACAAATCGTTGTTGCACTAAATAATTGGGATGAAATTGATTTTTCTTTTTTGATAATCATAAATAACTTGTAACTTGGAGGAAAGCTTTTCGTTAATTTGTTTACTACAAAACAACTACACAAAAGATGGTAAAGTGTCCAAAGATGAGTGCACCAATCGATTAATGGTTAGAGTTTGACGATATACATATGTATGTACACATAAGTACATACACTGGCGACATATTATTTAAATGGTGCTAGGTATTACATACATATGTAGCTATCAATATGTATATTAATTTTCTGTATTTATCTTTCTATTTCTTTTTTTTTGTATTCAATTCAACACAGAAATATTCTTCTTCACGCATTTTGGAATCGTTTAATAATAATTTCCAACAGAATTTTCATAACGGAATAACCATGGTATGCTTTTGAAAGAAGACACTATATTCTGACCATTTTCGGCGGACAAAAAAAAATTATATTCCAGCACCTCTGAGTCTTGTGTTGTTTGCACTCGTAGGTCAGACGTAATAGAAAAAAGCTTTGTTCAACGAAAATGGATTTCACATACATTTACCCACATGCATGCATCTTAGTTATTCTATTCCATAGAAAATTTTTGAATTTGTTGGAGTGTGCAAACTATTTTCCTAAGGTATAAATGTTGCTAACATTCTCGGTTAACTTATACTATTTAAAGTACTATTCGTACTTTGTGATCATAAATACATGGAATTTAGTTTATTTTCAAATCGGGCTATAAATATTGTGTGTTTGAATGTCGTGGTGGTGAACAGTTATAGAGAGGTTCGACTTAAATCAGGCGTTCGAACTGCCCGATTCTATTCTTTGTCAAGATAAAATAGATACAAGTGCAGCTTAATATTAATAACATATAATATTAATATATTATTTATATTATATATAAAATATATGACAATTTGTCTGTATGTAAATGTGGACGTGGGTTGTGCTTAGGGACCATCTTTTTTCAGGGTATATGTAAATTGAAAAGAAATGTATGTCATTTTATTAATTTGCCGACAGCAGTTACTAAATATAAGTATGTTTGTGAATTTAATTTCAATGGGTCGATTTAATAAATCGAGAAAACCGAATAAGTGTGCGCATAAAAAAAAAATTGGATTTCTTTTACACGCAAGTAGCAACATTTCCGTTTTTGATAACTCCACGCAGCAGCAGCTGTAGATAAATCTGGCAGCAAGAGCTATAAGGTATGCGAAGTCAACTTGGAATTTAATGGCCAGTTTCGCGGCCATTGGAGTTCGAATACAACTGCAACCACCCTCAAAGCTGATACATACATATTATGTAAGCAGAACAAAATTTTAAACTTTTTTTTTATCAACTTCCAGCTGGCCTCGTATTCGAATTTTTAAACAAGAAGTACCTTATAAAATTATTAGTTTTACAGAATACTTTTTCCTTTATCTAAATTTTTTTGAAGACGACAAGGCGGTACCGAACGAGCAAACTTTGTACCAACCGCTGTACGTTTAAAAATCAAATAATATCTAAGACCTCCTCAAGTATTGAATTCCAACAGTACCGAGAGTTGGTTAAAATGGTTTCATAGCTAAAAATCTGTTTGATTGGGTTTAATTTATTTATTCCCAAATAGTTATTAAAAATGTGCTTAAGGAATTCCCACCCGCTCCTTAGTTGTCTTTTGGTAGACTTATGTATATGGACAAATTTTAAAAACAGGTAGCCTTTGTTTTATTTCGCTTTATTTTCATTGTTGTAAAATAATATAAAGATAGTTGCTTTTGGATATAATTTATAAAAGTTAACTTGGAGCCTCAAAAAAATTTTGAATCAATTTTTTTGCAAAACTTTTGAATTGTATGTAGATGTTTTAATTTAAAAAAAGATTAAAAACAGGTGAATTTTTTATGTAATTTTTAAGAGCTGAAAACTTAATTATGTCATAACTTTCGAAGCACACCATATACTGATTTGAAATTTTATATGCCATTTAAGCACTATGTGTAGGTAACAAAAGTGTGCTTTAAAAACTAACTAAATGGCAAGTAACTCAAAGTGTGTTAATTACTTTTCAAAATTTTCGGTTTATCGCGTATGATTTTTGAAGCATTTCATTTTGAAATCTTTTTTAAGCATGTATTGTATTCTACAAACAATTACGAATAATTTGATACCTTGTCAAAACGATCTAAATCTTTTTATAATTACTAGTCCTTATAACATTACATACGCCTGTAAAATGCTCCAAAAAAAATTTTACTAGAAGGGTGTAAAACCCCTAATTTACTAATTTTTAAGGAGGATCCTTCTTGTAGTGAGAATATTTCGAGCGAGGTATCAAATAAAATTTTTTAGGCGAAGGTTCTGATACTTGCTCCTACTTAATTGAAGCCTTCTGAATTCAATGGCGTCCCCAGTTTTGACAGATTGGCTCCACTTTTCGAGATAGCGGTACTTGAAACTTTCCTTCAATTTTAACTATTTTATAAATAACTCCCTCAGTTTTTACTAAAATTTTGCACATGCCCGTATTTTAATATTATCTTAACTATTCCATAAAATCATCGAAATTGGTTCACTATAACATGTAGCTTCCATACAACTGGTTGTTAAGAGACGTTGACAATGTTTGGATACTGTTATACTGCGATATTCAAAATGTTTGTATATGCAGAGTTACCCGACACATTGCGACTATATACATTGCATATTTTAAATATTCAATAGAGCAATAAACAATTTTACTGAATTTTCTCCATATTTAAAACACGAATGGTAACCAATAACAAACGAAGCCTCAACTTTGTTTCCGATGCGCTGATTGCTGTAGCGATGCGTTTCGTTAACTTTTCGGATGCGTTTTGGAAAAGTATACATTGCATGGCGTTATGGAACATTATATATTGTACGTATGCAAAGCAATCGACGTTTTGGAAGCCAGCCGTTGTTTTGCGTTATAGCTCCTCCAGTTAAGTAGGTAAAAAATTTAGTAGTATTTTTATGCATCATGAACACTGTTAACTTTGTTTTTATGATGAAGTTAGGGGCCAAACCCCATATCTGAATAATCAGTTGTAGGGAAGCTATTTGTTAAAGTGAGCCTATTTCGATGATTTTCAGAATTAGTTAAGGAAATATTAAAAAATAGTAATGTGTAAAATATTAGTAAAATAACTTAACAACTAAGGGAGTTATTTATAAAATAGTTAACATTTAAACAAATTTTCAAGTACCGTTATCTCGAATTTAGAACGTCCCAATTAAGTGACTTCAACTTTCCAAATTTATTGCTCAAATTTGAAACTCGCACAGCGTAATTTGTACCCGACTTATTTGTTTTCTATTTCAGCGATTTAAATGTTTATTCCGCGTCTAACTTTTGAAGCAATTGATGAAAATGGATTGCATTTATATTTATCAATTTATTAAGAGATTACGAATATAATCATATATAAAACAAAGGAGTGCCCACAAATTAAAAAATTAATTTTTTTGTGCCTATTTTTTAGATTTGCCCGTAGTGAAATAATATATAAAGTGTGCCAGATAGCAATGACATTAATATATATGCGTGTAAAAAAAAAATACGGCTATTATTTCACTATGGATTTTTGCCCATATCTATGCTTTGAACTTCTTATTAATTTTTCCCAAATACCTTTTTTCATCTGAAAAATGTGTAAAATTGGTTAGGTTTTGTTTTCTGGCCGTTTATTGTAATCTTTTGATTGTTTTCTGAGCTCTAGGCTGAGGATAAATAAAACAATTGGATGTCTTATGGTGTTTTCGTTTTTACAAAAAATGTTGCCTTTTCATTGCCCGGTTCTTAGTGTTTGTGCTTAGAGGGCAATGAGAAGGTAACATTTTTCGGGGGAAACGAAAACGCCATTATATTCCTATTTGTTTATTACTAAGCATACATATACAAATACATAATTATTTACAAAACGTACAACAAAACACAACTTACAATCGTGGCTTTTCCTAGTCGACTAAACATATGCGCGAAAATGCATTAACAAACAAACTTGGTGACAATAAAGTATAAGCATGAAAATGTAAACAATTCAAAATACAGTAATCATAAACAAAAAACATACAAACAACAATACATGAAGCGATGAGCAGCAAGACGAAGATTAAAGGCGAAATATCGACAGCAATAAACAAAAAGGAATATCAGACTTCCAATTATTTTATTTACCCCCCGCCTGGAGCTCTCAAAACAATCAAAAGATGTGTAAAATTGTATGGACTTGTTTCAACAATTTTTACCCAATTAAAGCCAAACCATTTGTATGCAATTTAGTTTTAGTTTTATAAAGCGATTTTTATGAGTGTATTATAAGCGTTTTTTTTTTTAATTGAATGCATTGCTTTTAAGTCCACTGAAATATACAAAACTTTGGAATATATGAAACAAATTTTATATTAGCCAAACATTAATTTTTCGATATCATATTTACAGCTTCACTAGCTCGTTAGCTTTCGGCATTTTTGATTCGTGGGTTTCTCATTCTTGCACACCAACGCGATTTACACATAACACATCACACAACAATTAAAAACACTGACGCTACACATTCAAAGCACGTCTACATTTCTTATACATACTACTTTTCATATATATTTTTTTCATATTTTCTTATTTAGTTTTTAAAAACGTGTGGACAAATAAACTACACGGTATGTACGTTGGGTCAGGTGAGTTCGTTCATTTGATAATAATTCATTCCCTACAAAATAATAATTCATAGCATTAAAAATTTCTACTTTTCTTACTGTTACATTTTTAAATTGTATATTTTCTTAAGCTTCATCAGGTTTTCTTACACAATCGGGTATATTTTAAAGATGCATCAGAAAGTAAAAAAAAAATTTTTGGATTTATAAAGTTTATTAAAAGATCTAATTAGCCGGCATATAAAAACTATCAAATTAGAAACATATTTTTAACTTACATACATAAAACTTATCGAATTTCTTAAGGAATACGAACTAGCACTTAGGTATGCAAAATTATTCGCATTTACTGAACATCGGTTAATTATCACGTTTAATACACAGAAATTATTATTAATAAAAACTATGCATACTTGCACGAATTCATATGTTTGTAGATCACAAAAATCATATTAAATCAATCATAAACAACATAACTTTCAATACATGAGTTCAATTTAATCCAACTTAACATAGGTTTATAAATTTTCTAACGAAGGTACGCTTTGTCTGGCTTAAACGGTACAACTTATGCAAGTAAAATATCATAATTCGCAACGTAATACAAAAAAAAAATATAAAACTAATTATGCATGCCAGTGCACTAATAAATAATAGCGTTAATTCAAGACACAAGCGAGTACAAAAAGAATTTTTTTTCAATTGTCACGTTTTTGGTTGAATAATTCAACATCATTAAGCCAAAGCAATGCAGGCATAATATGCAGGGCAGTTCAAAGCCTTACAAGTTAAAAACTAAAAATTAAATAAAAAATTTTAAAGTAAAAAATTACCAAAATTCAAATTTCGAATATGTATATGTAAGGCTTGAGCCTTTTATTTTATTCAGCATGTTGGTAATACTACGCAAGCGGACCTTAACCAGCAAGAAAGCACTCAGTTATTAGAAATGCAACAAATAAATACTTTCGAAGTACAAGGCGAGTTATTCA